GGTTTCATTCATGTTAGTCTCACTATACCTTTTAAACCACTCACAATTGCGGGTCTTGGCCCTAGCTAAGCAACCTCCGCCCAAACCTCCATGAAAGCAGTGGAGGAAAGGTTTAAAGGGGGTAGAGCAACCCAGGCAACAAGCTGCATGGCAACAAGGATAGAAAAGGGGATGTGATCAAAGAGTTATAGACAAGATACTTAGGTAAAGGCAAGGAAAAATGGTAGTTTTCTACTTCAGCCACCTCTGCTACACACACGTGCGTGCACATGCACAGACTGTGCAAATTTCCCTTGGAGCTGCTGCTGTCAGCAGTTATCTGCAGTTAAAAACTAGACAAAAAAGTAGAGATGCTGCCCTTCCTGCAGTCCAAATCTTACTGACCTTGTAGGAGGAGGAAGATGGCAGCTTTGGTGCAGTACAGTCACTGAAAGGGTGAGAAACAGCAGGCGAAGAGAAGGATCCTGGATGGGTGGGGAAGAAGAGTAGATTCTTGATTTGGGGATATCCATGTTTAGAGGTGTGGATCTGATTTGCAGAAATGCTAAACCCTCAAGGCAGAAGCATATTCAGCAAATATAGAGTGCTCTCAAGTACTAAGAATTGTAGCTGGCATCTCAAACTGCTCACACAAATTAGCTTACAGTATAGACAAATTTGACTTTTTTCTCACTGAAGCACTTCTTTTTCTGCATCTGAAAAATGGTGGTAACGACATAACATTTTTAGTAAATGCACTCAGTTTTATCTAAAGAAAATAAAAATGAAGGGGAAACAGAGCAAACATACTGTAAAAGGCCAGATAAAAGCTCAAGAAAAAGTCTCTCTGTTTGTAGAGTTTGAATGACATACAGCAAATAACACCTGAGATCTCATGCTGAATGAGTAAGATAAATGTAAGTATGTCCATTCAGTGGAATAAGGAAAGGTTCTAGTAGAAGAATTTCTGACCATGTTTTATATTATGTACTCACCCATAGGTATGAGATGTAACTGAATGGGACCACAGGAACTGAGCTTGGGGAGGATGAGGGGGGGCTTAATTAAGAGGCAGAGAAAAACCTTAATCCTGTTGCTTAATTTACCCATGTTCAAGGGTCTGATTTTGTGAGTCTAATCACTCTTTTCACAGTTTTCTTCTCCAGTGCAGTTCATGGGTATGGAAAACAAAGAAAGCACTTTCTGAAAGACAGCTGGCACAGCTGGTTCCTCAGAACACATGACCACAAACCAAACCTCGTACTGTAAGCCTACATTAATCTTTGCTTTGGCTTGCTTAGACTAGTGGTCCCTCAAAATGTGACGGTGTGTACTAACCTTTTCTTCTGTAAACAATTTTCTCACAGCTGATTTTTGTGTCTGGACAGTGTACTGCAAGCTGCATAAGTATCAAGCTCCTTGTGGTTCATAAGCATACCTAAGAAATAGAGATTGCCTGGTAAAGCTTTTTAGGCTGGCAATCAGGGATCTCTGTAATGAGATCTTGCACAATGTTTGCTCACTCTTAGATCAGAACATTCCTTGCCAAACCCTCAACCTTTAAGTAGGAATAGGACATATTGCCCCTTCCAAGAAGACATGGATAGGATGGTGCAACTCTTCTGACATAGGCAAAGGCAAGAAGGCCTAAACGAAGTAGGTCCTCTCATCTAAGAAGATGTGTAACCACGATTTTCTTCTTCTTACTGACTCCTGCCAGCAGGTTTGTGCATTTGTGTTTTGGAACATACTGCATAGCAACCATGTGTGGGCAAGCAAGAAGAGCTACAACTCCTAGTGCTTTCATACCTGGTGAATAGAACTGCAGCTCATAATGATGTTATTTGATCTGTTTTCAATCATTCCTCACTTTATTTAGAAACAAAATACAGTTTCTCACAGTAACAATGATAACTCTGATATTTAAAAACACAGCATTTTATTAAAACTAGAAACTGTAGATACACCAAACAAATGTCCTAAATAAGAGAAGGGAAGGGTAAAGGAGTGTGGCTGGAATAGCTGGAATAAAAGGAGTAGCGACTTCAGTAAGCATTTATGTTATTTTTTTCCTGGTGTTTCATTTCTATCCCCATTTATCTTTTCAAAGTTATTGACATTTGATAAAGCCAGTAGTGGCACAAAAGAGAAGGGCAGATACTCTTCCTTCTTAGATTATCCCCAAATTCTGATTGTCACATAGTTTGTTGCAGTAAATGACCTTAAGAATAAAAGAGGATAAAAGAAAGGAGGTTTTGAAATGAAAAATTTTACAAATTAAAAGTAGAAAAGAAAGTAATTTTTCAAATTGCCAAATGATAAGTTGGCCCAACTGTATTTTTTAAAAGTGCCTCAGGTCTGTTTTTGAGCAATCAAGGTTTAGTTTATGGTCATGTGTTAAGTAATGTTGTATTGTATTGAGATTAGTATCAGACTCAGTATATGTGTATTAAACTCCTATTCTCATTTGTGATTGTTTGTCATTGTCAAGAATATCTCAAAAGAAGGAAATATTCAGTAATTGATTTAACTTTAAATCCACTGCCAGAAAAAGTTACCAGGATAATACAATTTCTCCTGCAAATGTTATTCTTCTTTTCTGTCCTCAGTTAAACAAACTTTGTGGCCCTAGTGAAGATATGTGGCCTTATTCAGTGGAGAAAGGTTTGGGTATTTTGTTTAAAAGAGAGGACATTGTGTTTATTTCCCTAGATCAATGCAGAGATGCAATATCACAAAGTAAGCAAACTCTCGTAATGTTCTGGCATCTTTGGCCAGTTTTGCCTTGAGCACAAAGTTATTAGTAGATGATGAAGTAACTCTGTTAGTAAACAAATGAACAGAAAGGATGTTAGCACTAAGATGAGCCAAGGAGGCCAGCTAGAGGACAGAAAAGGCACTTTTGTCCCTCCTCTACTTAGGCCAGTCAAAACCGAAATCCCAAGGTTTACGTGGTGTAATATCAGATATGCTCAATTCATAGTGTGGTCATAGCTCAGTAAGACAGCAGATGTTATGACAGGCAGCCTTCAGCTGAGGTTGTCAGAAATTTATGTGGCATCAAAGCACCCCTATCTCACCAGATGTCCTACTCTCTGAGCCAGATAGGCACCTACAAGCTGGCTCCCTGGCTGGCTTTTTCTCTGAGGCCCCAAGCAAAAGACAAAGCTGATTAGCTTGAGATCCAAACAGAATGCAGTACTAAGCACTACTGATAAATTAAACTCATTTACATTCTGCTCATAAAGATTCTTCCTTGAAAAGAAAAAGTTTCAGATGTGTTGTCTGCTCCAGACATGTTGCATATTCTCTCCATTGCCCCAGTTTAGGTTTTTAGTTGAAGAAGAGATATGTAGCTGGAAAAAGCTTGATCTAGACTTTGAATTACAGTGCATAATTTTGCTTTCTCAAGTAATAAAGACTGGCCACACCAAATTTGGAGTGGAAACAACAGGGAGTTTCAACCCCTTGCAAAACTTACCCAGCAACAGCCCACTTACAAGGCTGGCAGAAGGGAACACAGAGGATGACTGCTATAGAGCAGAATGCAAGTGCCCATCATTTGTAGAAAGATATGTGTCTTATGGGGCATTGCCATCTACTATATTTTTCAGCCCTTCTTCCCCACCAGTTTTTACTTGAAAAAGCAGAAGGCTATTGACATAATCTTTTCCATTAGACGGGTGTTGTTTCTTTTCCCTTCCCGTGTTTCTCAAGGTTGTTTAAAATAGATTCTAGCGATTTTAACAAACATGAGAGATGTCATATTGAAAACCCTGACAATGTAGTCCTCCATTAGTTTCATTTATGCAATGATGACAAGATTGTTGTACACAGGCTGCAGCTAGCCGACCTTCTGAACAAGTCAAAGGCGTGTTCTGTACATATGAAATTCGGGGGCTTTTGTTTATTTCCTTTTGAACTGTCTTCCAAAGCTGCTAATGATGGCACTATTTGCATTACCCTGATACCACAAACATGTCTTGGTAGGGTGTATGTTGTGTCACAAATACATAAAAATTTCTATAGGCCCACAGGTACTTATACACAGATAGGTACTGTTGTATTCATATGGTTCCTGGTGATGTGGTGATTCTTCTAGTGGGCACAGTGGTAAGATAATTGCTTAGAAATTGATGTTCAGTTCCAGTAAGTGACAGTCTATCTCTTTAAGCACGGTAAGTAAACAGCTTTGAAAGATTTCTGTCCACGTTTTTAAAAAAAATCATCTCTTAGGTTTTTCAACTATGGAATTAAAAATCTTGACTGTTTTAATGTCAGTTTTAAAAGGGCTAGGAAAGCTCCAAATAGTGTGTGCAGTAAATCTGTGCCATGGCAGAAACAATCAGAAGAGTAAAGAGTAATGATTAAACATTTAATCAGAAGCATTATACTTTGTTGTGTTCTCACTGTAGCTGCAGGAAAAGATGCTGTAACAGATCTTTAAATAGAAAACCTGAGGCTAAATTCTACTTCATCCATCAAAAGCAGCTGCTAGGAGATGACCTAATTTTAGTGGCTTATCAATTCCTTAGTGCTTGTTGGTTGATGTAACTTTGATCCTCTGATGCTAGATGACTTTTGTGCTGAATATAGCTGGAATTTAATGTGAATCTTTTGGATGGCTGCCCAGCCAAGCTGCATAATCCAAACAAAGGGAGCGAGCAGTACATGATTCAAGCTACTCACGTGTACAATAATACAAATATATGTATCCTGATTCCTTTGGGCAATCAGCTCCATGTCACCAAGCACATATTTCAAATACAATGTCCTTGTGGGGTTTTTTTATCTGTTTTTTTTTTGGTTTGTTTTGTTTCTGTTTCTGTTTTTGTGTTTTTTTTTTTTTTCCCCAAACAATGATCTGCTTTTCACTGGAAAAATAACACAAGATGCAGTGAGACTCAGCTGCTGCCAAGAAATAATGATAGAGTCAATAATTGCAGGACGTTTTTAATGAATGTTTTCCAAGCAAATCATTGCCATTTCAAAGGGCTGTTATTTCTATTTATGTAGAGATTAGCCTACACGTTATCAAGGAGATGGAATGGTTCTATGTTTTTTTTTATCATTAGTTTTTGTAGCATTTTTAAGGGATTTTTTTTTTTTTTTAACAGCAGAAAATGTCTTTGTCTCTCTTTCTAGCTACTCTTTATCTGGACTTGCTTTCCTTTTCCTTTCTCTCCTTCTCTTTTTGGCTCTTCACTAAAACCATCTGTGACACACATGCAAGTTGATGGGTGCGTGAGCAATGCTTCACACATATTTAGTTGCCCTACTTGGCATTATTTGCTAGTCATTAAACATTATGCAGAAGTTTTTCACGTCCCATTTTTTTTTATTCTCTTAGAAAATTAAGGTAGGAATAAGAGTGTGATCAGGCTATTGCATGGATTTTTTTTTCCATTTTTTTTTTTATTTCTTGGAGAGACTGTGTCTAGAGTTTAGACTGGGGAGGATTTAAACTGGAGGATTAGACTGGAAGGATTTCTGGGTTTTCTTCCTGGCACTGACAATCATGCATTGTGTGAGCTTGAGCCAGTCACTTAGGGCCTGTTTTTCACACTCCAGTTGAAATAAATGGAAAGTGCATGTGCTCAGCACCTCTGCAAACCAGGTCATTTATCTCTCCTCCTTTTATTTATGCACTGATAAATATAACAACCTTTGCCTTTGCATATGCAAACTGGATAGGAGGATACAAATATGGGCAGTTGAACATGCAAATCCCTCATTCTCATGCACAGCCATTTCATACAACCAGGGATTTCTACATTTGCAGGCCTTGGTTCTTTTTGGAAAAAATGAACCATAAATAACAAAATCTATACAGACTTGTCAGAGAGGCACTGCTGAAATCAATATATTTGTGCAGCCTCTTTTCTACAGTTTCACTTATGTCAAAAATACTATTAGCTACTATGATAATCATTTTAGCCTACTTTATTACTGGATTAAACCATGTTGTCAGTGTGCAAGTGCCTTGGGCATTGCATGCTAATTGTAGGTTATCATGCAAGACTCAGTATTAACTGTTTGACACACTTTTGGATTCTTGGGTGGGCTTCATCATCCCTTCATGGCACCTGCATTTCTTCAGTGACTAAGGGTGTCCAAAATGGTTAGCCAGCAACTCAAGATTTCCCCAGCTAAATGCCTGTAGTGCCTCAATATGCCTTCTGGACATACAGAAAGGGCTGGATCTGGTATGAAAAGCAGGAGAAAGTTTGTGGTAAGCAGTCAGGTTGACATCCATTTTCACTCTGCCTACCTCTGCTTAAAAAAAAAAAAAAGTAATAAGGACAAACTTCTTCAGTGGAAATGAAGTGCTACTCTTCCTGATATAAAAATGTCAGTGACTCCTGGCTTCTGGATTCTGTGTCCTGCTTGTGCAGGAACTCAATGGAAGTCAGAAGTCCTGAGGTCTCTCTTGCAGTTACAAGATACTATCCACCAGCTTCAGTTGCTGTTCTGATGCTTTAAAATTATTCAGTTTTGGTGAATGTAACACTTAGGAAAAAAAAAAATTAATTATTTTCCTTAGCTCTGCTGTGGGGAAAAAAAAAAAAAGTTTACGTTTTGCCCAAGGTCTCACAAAAAGACCAGAGCATAATAAGGACATCCTGCCTGGGGCTTCAAACCTGGATTCACCTTATTGGAATAATCCTCCTGTCTATGCCCCCTTTTTTCTACTTTCCCTAGGACCTCACCATGTCCGCTTTATCATGGGACTGACAAGCTGACCACTGCAATGCAGAAGGATGACCCTACATGCTAGAGGAGGCCTTTATCCCCAGGCCACTCTGCTTTCATGTCTGCAGTGCATGCACCATTCATGGGCTGGGGAAGTGCTTGCCTTTTCCTTGCAGGACATACACACCTCTAGTGATGGCATAGGAGGATACACGGTGTGTGTGCAGCCTCAGCTGCATTTCAGGCTGCAGGAATTGCCCTGGCCAGAAGACTGGCCACTCTTGTGGCAGAAAAAAGAGCTGAATGCACAGCTTTTGTGTTATTGCCCCAGCCTTCCCAGTATGCCAGTCAGCTTCCCAAACTGAACCCGATAATTACAGTGGTGTGTGTAACCATGAGCTTACAGGGAATCTTGAAACTGGACTAGCTTAAACCTTTACGATCCAATTTTGTCCTCATTGGACTGCACAGATTATTAACTTCAGTGGAAATAATCTTAGATGCTCTAAAAGTGTCAGAGAACAAATGGCTGCTGCCCCTAGAAAGGAGCGATGTATTTTGAGAATGGGGCTTGCAGCCAGGCATTCCAGACTCCTCATGCTGGCCTTAGGCAGACTCTGTATTCTTGCTGCCTTGTTGTCCCCTTGCAGCACAGGTGGAATTGTTTTGCCTTCCTTCCTTGTGGTGTGTGTGAAGATTAATTAAATCACCTGAATATTATGAGCATTAAAGTTACTCTTATTTCATACAAACATCAAGAGCCTCTTGATTCTAATCACTGCCCTGCCTTCTGATATTTCAGTTAAAAATTCACATTGGTAGGATGTTTTCTGCTGTGCTTACGCCTCTGTATTTCATTGAGGGTTTACTGATCCTCATTACTAATTAAGAAAGCCCCTACTTTATATGATATTCTAAAGATTAATTTCATACTTCATGGTAGTGAGTCGATGTTGCAAAATGCCAGGCTTTACAACTGTCAGGACTGTATAAGTGGTTAGGGCTAAGAGCAAAAGCGCCCTGCTTGCAAGATGAACTGCTAAGCAGCATCACCAACTGGCCCAGTTGCCTGGTTTACAGAGGAAGCCAGCTGAGGCAAGGATGGGCTGGGAACCCAGATGCATCTCATTGACCTGGATGTGGCAGCTGTACCCTACTACCTGTGCTTAACCCACATTCTGGATATCTCTGGATGTGGTTTAACCTAATTGCTGAATATCCCTGTGCATTTTTCAACTCTCTCTCCATGTTAGTGAATACAATGTAAATGAGGCTACAGTGCTTTATATTACCTGTGTGAAAGCAAGCTTTTAGATCCATCAGTGCCATAACATAGTTACAAGATCAGATGCGATTCAAAAATGTGAAATGACCCTGAAATGTTTTCTGGAGGCCAACTTGTTCTTCCAGCATGCTTGAACTTCTACTTTTCAGCAGTGTGAAAGCCAGTTTAGACATGAATTACTTGTTATAGAGGCATCATCACTGAGTGTTACTAAATGATCACAAATGAGCAGATAGCAATTCGAAAGCACTCCGATTCTGAAATGTTTATTTAATGGAGCCAGTATCCTAACTAATGTCTGCTACAGGTCAAGTGAAAAAATGTGGATGCAAAATCAGATATAACAAAAGTACATACCAAATTCTACCCTGCTTTCTGATTTTTATGCTTATTTTCATTTTATCCTTGAAACACCATGTATAAAAGCTCATCTTTAAAAACAGGCTTTGCACCACTGTCATTGTTGTGGTCTGCTAAAACTGAAACCTGAGTTTTCCTTGTCCAAAATGCTACTGTTTGTTCCTGCAGTCAGACATCTGTGCATGGAACAACAGCGTAAAATACCAGTTTGCCTTTCAGCAAGTGGACAGAAACTCTTGGGCATTTTTTGGCACCTTCTGAGGAAAAGATCTCATATATTCAAGAACAGTCTGGATGCAATCCTGTGTAATGCACTCTGGGATGGCCCTGCTTGAGCAGAGAGGTTGGACAAGATAACCCACCGTGTTCCCTTCCCACCTCACCCATTCTGTGCTGTGTGGTTAAAGCACCAAACATTGACCACAAGTATGCAGTTCCTTTGCTGGTAGTCCCTAAAGATCCACCTGTCTAACCAGACTTTTGGAAAACAATTTGAGTTAAAAAAATGTGTTTGTTAGTCAAAAATTGGACTCCAAAAAGCACCTGATCTTGACATTCTGCAACATGTAAAACCCATGGGACTGGACACGCAGTGTCAGTGGTGATCTTACTTCATAGAAACTTTAGAAGCAAACTACTCCATGTCTTTTGCTGTAAATGGTGTTACAGTCACCATCAGCACTGGTTTTGGGCAAAAGCCTAGAAGCCTGTGGTTCTTTCTTGGGCAATAAGGTAAGACCAATGAGGGGCAACTGTGAACTGCAAGTGCCAGCAGGGCTCTGGAGGCACCTGACCGAGGGTGTGAGACATCTGGACAAGCATGTCCAAGTTTTGCCTCAGTTTGTTATTGGGAATAGCTCTGCATGGCTTTTACATCATCACACGTGATGGTGAGCCCAGGTCTTCTGTATCACTGGCAGGCTTTCTTACCTTTTTCTGATGTTTCAATCCACAAAAGAAACTGGGACTGAAGAAACAGCAAATCTGCTACAGCCAGTGTGACTCAGACAACTATGAATTTCTCTGCTGTTCTGGTGATCTGCTGTGTAAAAAAAAAAAAAAAAGATAAAAATTAACAGCATTTCAATTATGAGGGTTGTAACAAGAGTTAGTTACCAGGTCTAGGTTTTCAAAAGGAATTTCTGTAGTTTGTTTTGGTGTGGTTTTGTTTTGTTTTGTTTTGTTTTTTCTTGCTGCTTGAGAAAATTCATGAAACAGACTTATGTTATTTAAGAATGCTCAGTGTCTTTTTTGGAAGGAAGACCCAGACTGTGCTACATTACCATCAATGGAAATGAGAGTTTGGAGCCTAATTCGTTTGCAGCAGGGGAGATTAGAGCATATTGTGAATATGATTTCAGTATATGTACTGAGTTTCCCAAGGGTATCTCATCAACAACAACTTCAAAAGTTACTTTTATGCCACTTCCACTCAGCTGACAAGAACACTTGACATTTTGAGAAGGTTTAGAATAGAAAACATTAGCAGTTCGTGTTGATCATGTAACTCATTGGCAAAAACACTACTGTTTAAATATCATGTTCAGTCATCGCTGGATTGCAATCTAATGAGCGTAAAAGATGAGTACCTCTCAAAAGTGACTTGTTTTGTAACTTTTACAGTTACAAACTTGCAAAATGAAGAACCTGGACGTTTACTTCCCCTCAAATACCATTTCCGGGGACAGCATCCTTTTGTGCCTTGGAAAAGCATCTAATGAGCTGTAAACAAATAGTCAAGGTTCTGTACTTTCTGCTCGGTGAAATCTCAGTAGGAAATCTTCATTATTATGAACAGAATGAGTAATCTCGCTGATGGTGTAGTGACCACATATGTTCTGGCTTGTCTTTGAACACCTGCAGTTTTATGGATATATTTAGCTGCTATCAATGAGTAGTGTTCCAGGTAAATCCTCCGGTAAAAGGAAATGTGATGTCCTCTTTCTTCCCACTGACATAATTCCTGCTTGACTTTTCCTCTAATTGAACCAACTAGTGTTTAGAATTCACTTTGGCATGGACCAGGGAGTGGGATTGCTGATGTCTTTAACTTGCTTGTTTACTTAACTTCCCAGTACATAATCAGTTGTATAAAAATGACCTCCCCCTAAATATATCTCAGTGGCTATGTTATATTATACTAATGACTGCAACACGCAGAAAGCCAAAACAAGCACTTTGCCAGTATCAACAGAAATTATGAAAACACAGTTTGCAACAATGTATGAATTATTGCTGCCAGCTTGCAGTTCCCAAGTTAACCCTTGATGAAGTTATAAATTGCAACAATGAATGCTGTTTCTATCTTGGGTCACACTGTGGGCCAATTTCTGCTGTCATAAGTGGAGACTTAAACCATTACAATTGGATAGTTCTGTTCCTGTCCAACCAAACTCAGAGTTATCCTTCCAACAGTTTGATGGTGTGAGATGGACAAAGGCACACATGGTAATTCCTGTAGTATGGTTTCAGCCAGTTCAGGTACAGAGGTGGAGGATAACTCAGTGACTCAGTTTGGAAGTTAATGTGCAGTTCAGAGCTTTGTTCACTAACAGGGAGGTAAAGGAAATCTAATTTCAAGCTCCATTGGAAATTGAGGGGAAGCAAACAATATTCGAGAGACAGCAAGGAAAACTAGGATAAGGAAGGAATAGGATAAAAATTAATGAGAGATATAAGGGTGGGTGGGGAGAAATGGAATTGTTTATCTGAATCCTCCCTAAATGTCTTTGGAGACTTCATTCCAGACCATCCTAGTTTTAGCTTTTTAAAAACAAATCCTCTCTCTTACTTTAAATAGGGGTATGCTAGAATTAGAAGCACTTATCCAAACCATCCAGGCTTTAACTTTCAGGGCTCAGAAAAAATGGGACCTGGAACTGAAACAGCTTTGGTTTAGCTTTTAAACCCAAACCACTCTTTTTTTTTTTTTTTTCCCCTCTGTAGTTAGACTAAAGCCTCAATCAGAAAACTAGCAGTGAATGTATAAAAACAGCACACAGTACGAGAACAAAACACTAGACACTAAAAGAACAACTTCAGTTCAGCTACTTTGCTCTACGCAGTTCTGACTTATGGAATACTGGAAAGATAGTAGGAATGTTTCCACCCAGAATTAGTTATGGAAGGAAGCAGGATCATTTTGGGAGCATGGAGCTGTATTAATGTAGTGGGAAGTCTGTCTCCACAGAGTTTCGCTGATGTTACATCCCAAATCTGTCTGTGATACATAGCTTGCATCTTGGCTGACAATAGCTGAGAGTTTGAAAACTTTTCAAGTATAGTATGTGTACCCAGTTCCACTTCATCACTATGATTCACTGCTGTGGTAATCTCCTTCACTGTCAGTGTTTATAGAAAGCCTGTTCTCCAGGTTAAAAAACAAGAATTGCTTTCATTGTTTGGCTTCTTCCAAACTGCGTCATTAATTGTATATATATCTTCAATCTTCTAAAAATCTTTTTTACAAAATCTTTTGTTTGGAAACTTCACTATTTAGACCCTTGGGTAACATCAAGTTTGCCAAAGGTCATGTTGTCTAAGGGAAAGAGGATCCAGGATGAAATGCTTTTTTTCTTTTTCCCCTTGTGCAATAATGCCTCATTACTGTTATTACTTGCAAAAGGGATGATTTTTCTATTATCAGCATATGTCCTGTACAGCACTTTCAACATTCAATAGCTGTCAAAAGAAATAAATTTTAAACATGTTTTGCTACAGATGAGTTTGGATTAACTCCCTCTCAACCTCTAAAATCTTTAAGATTTTTTTAACAGTAATTTGCCAGGACATTTTTTAAAGTTTCTGGAGCACAGAAAGCTTAGCTATTCCAATCATAATGTAAGCATTATGAGAATAATGCATAATGAAAATATTCCCTATGAAGATATGTCCACTAACAAACAAATAATGTGGAAAAAATTAAGAATATCCTAGAGAAATTCCAGGCAATCTTAGTGCATTCGTCATGAGATAAATCTCCATTTTATGAGCATTCCTCTGGTCCTTTCCAGTTCTTTTTGTCTCTTGTCTGTAATGTTTTGTTTGAGAATAGTTGCAAATTGTTTTGTCTTCTCCAGGAAGAATATGAAAGGGTTGTTGCATCTTTCCCTGGAGTGTCTTGGTCAAAGCTTTTACTGGAGAGAAGTCATATATATATTTCAAATACTGTCCTGCACAAGGTCATTTGGATGCTCTAGGACATGTCTTGAAACAAAATTGCAGCATAAAATTGTAAAACCTACCTAACAACAACTTCCTCACCATGGAAAACATCTGTACAGAACGATGATGTGTACAGAACAGTGATTCAATATTAGTGCAATTTCCTGCAAGACAGAGCCAAATTTTAGGACACCACATAGGAGACAAACATCTGCTGACTCACCCTCATCTTGCTTCATATTTGTATATTACAGTATCTCTGGTCAGTGTCAGCCTTGGGTTGCTGCTGACACATCTGTCCTGCTTTAATTACCCTCTGTGGAAGGGGCTTACACCCAGCATGAGTGAGATGTGAAAACAGGTGAAATGTCCACCTGCTCTTTTACAGTATTTTTCCTGTGCAGGAAAGGCTGAGGTTTGGGTTGGGTTGGTTTGGGTTGGCTTTTTTTTTTAATAGTTTGAATTAACATCGCAGATAGACTCATGGGTGGGTATATATCCAATACATATATTGCTCTAGGAACAGGTGGGAATAGCTGTAGGGACTTGTTAGCTTTATTGCTCCACTGTTGTTGCCAGAAAATTACATGCTGCTTTTCCCCGGCCTATTTTGAACTGGAAGAGCTGCCAGAAGCTTGCCCACTGTTTTCAGACAAGCAGTGTATGATCTGAGGGGTGGGAGTTTTTGGGGCGGCACATCCATTCACTCACATCTCTGAGGGTGAACTAGAGCCGGCTGATTTAACCTGGAGAGGGGGGCTGTCGAGACTCACTGGGGAAGGAGTGCAGCAGGGGTGGCAGAAGGCAGTAAAGTATAGGATTACCTGGTGGCTTACTTTCTCCAGAAACCAGAGTCACTCACTAGAACTGGAAAACAGCTACTCCAATCTATGGGAGAATTGACAAGAGAAGGATTGTGAGGGAGGGACCTCAAATATTTCTGCTATTTCTGCCTCTGCTCTTTTTCTGCTCTGAGTGTTGGAGTATGCTGTCCTTCTGGCTTATAGTGAAACTTCCTCTCAAGTGAAGCATCTAAATCTATGATGGTCTCAGGGAACAGAATGTCTTTTGGAAGCTCAGTGTCACTTTAGGCGAAAAGAGTGGGCATGTTGGGTCTGGGGACAGGTGCTTCTATGTTGCTGATGTGTCTTGGTGACTCAAAAACCTCCAAGTGTGACCATTCCCAGGGAATGGAGAAGATCAGCTTCCTGGGGGAGCATGAGCCGTCCTCTACTGTCCTATTTTGCTGGCAGAGGGGCTGGGAGTACTGCCTTAGAACAACATTCATTGACCTCTTTTTTCTCCTAGGAAGGATACAAGAATTTTTGGAAGGACCCCATAGTAATTCCTGGACTAAGGCTGTGCACACCACTGCAACATAGGAAAGTTACTAAGCTCTTAGAGAGCATCCAGAGGAGGGCAAAGAAGATGGTGAAGGGCCTTGAGGGGAAGCTGTATGAGGACTGGCTGAGGGCACTTGGTCTGTTCAGCTGGAGAAGAGGAGACTGAGGGGAGACCTCACTGCAGCTACAGCTTCCTCATGAGGAGAAGAGGAGGGGCAGGCACTGATCTCTGCTCTGTGGTGACCAGTGGCAGCACCCAAGCAAATGGCCTGAAATTGTGGCAGGGGAGGTTTAGGTTGGATATTAAAAAAAAGGTTCTTCCCCCAGAGGGTGGTTGGGCACTGAACAGGCTCCCCAGGGCAGTGGGCACAGCACCAAGCCTGACAGAGTTCAAGAAGTGTTTGGATGATACTCTCAGGTCCATGGTGTGACTCATGGGGATGGTCCTGTGCAGGGCTAAGGGTTGGACCCAATGATCCTCGTGGGTCTCTTCCAATTCAGCATATTCTGTGATTCTGTGATTCTGAGAGAGGAAATGTAAGATGCTATTGGGTCTTGGCCTGAGAGTGGAAGAATATGTAGTAACACTAAATCTAGTTTGTCTCTGTGTGTAATGTTCTTTGTTGTGCTAGATAATTTAGAGAATTACAAACTGCACTTATGAATAAACAAATCAGAGCACTGCTGCAGGCAGAGGGAGAGTACAATATGCACATGTGATGTTATATAGTAAATAATGGGATGTTGTCTTCATGATATTTTGGCCACATGCTTTGCATGGAGGACTTAAACATTTACTAGAAGTAAAATCCATTAAGAAAGGCAATTGTTGGCTTTATCCAAGGCAGAGCATTGAAAACAGACTGCTTCCTTCTCCAGGCATTCCTTTCAAGATGACAGAAATTCCCACCCCCCCAGCTTTAACACAGGAACATGTTGACTTAATGCTTTCTTTTCACTAACAATTTCGTATTTTGGAATTTGTTGACGTACTTCTGCTGCCATCTTAATGCAGGCCCCAATTTGATCTTGAATTTTAGGGAATGGAAAATCCTGAAAAACATCCGGGCTGCTGTGAATGCAGAGGACAAAGCCTTCGCAGTAAAACGCCTCTGACATACGCCCATGAGAAGTGTTTGATGTGCTGTAAAAGACATCTGTCTGAAAAAAAAAAATAATGTTTTTCCTCTTTGGCTTTGTTGAGCAGACTATGGAAGCAAATGACACAAAGTAACCCTTCTTTTCCTCTCCTACTGGCCCCCTTTTCTGTTTGATCTTGCAGTGATGTGATAATGGTGAGTCTGTAACTTGAAAGTAATTTCTGTAAAGACTTATAGCATGAACAGAAGGGGTTTTATTTTCTGCTGCTAAAGGGAGATCAAAGTATGATCTAGAGATTAGACCTGTTTAGAGAGAGAAAACTGAGCAGCCTATTTCTTCCTCTGTCACTGAATTGCTGCATCAAACTGCACAAGTCACTTAACTTCTCTGTGCCCTGGACCTTTGCTGTGTAATGTAGCATTGAGCTCTTGTGCTAATAACAAACGTTTTGCATGGCTTAATCATAAATGATTGCCTATATGCTAATTAGCCTCAGTCAGTGCAAAGTTTATGATACTTGTTTTCAAACTTTACACCAATTCAGGGGACATGAGGGCTGTTTTTTTATCTAGTTTTGGTCACAGCTTGCAGGAGGGGAAGGAAGAAAGCACTGAGATCTGCAGAGGAGTTGAATGCAATGGCACAGTTTGTAGGCTGATGGGAATTTCTGGGCTCAGGGCTGTGCTTTGCAAAGGATGCTGGCATCAGAGAAGCATTATTACAGTGTTTTATATTGGCCTGCATGAGTTTAAACAACCAGCTGAGCTATTAGCAGCAATGTACACAGTGCAGACCAACCTTCCAAATAAGTCCTGTGTCTCACACTGGCTGCACGTGACTTTCAGGCACTGGGATTTTGCTGTTTGCTACTCAAACTAGTTCAAATAACACTAGCTGAGGTATGCTGGCCTCCTCTCATGGCTGTAGTTTGGAGATGGTGCTTGCTCGTGAGCTCAAACTGGCAAATGAAGAAGTCAGGTCTGCACCAATGCACAATCCTCTGAAAAGTAATCGACTGCCCAAGCCCTCCAAATACCAGGGTAAAGCTGTGTCAACAGTTGTCTCCCTGACAACCCTGTGAGCCCTCTTACACGTGGAAGAAATCGGTCAACACCAGTCCAGAAGGGAAAAGAACTTGTGGAAATCCCTCTTCTCCAGGCAAAGCTGCAGTTTTGCCATCTTTAAAGAGAGAAAGATGTCAGGAATGTCCCATTCTGTGGCAACACTGGAAATTTAATCTGTAAGTACATGCAAAGGACATGTGATTAAATCACAGGTACAGGAGCAATACAATGCTATTCAGTGTGTGAAAGCAGGCTCACATCAGTTCTGCATTTTGCATACAGGCAGCCTGAGAGAAGAGACCTCTGCTGCAAAATGTCTGCAGTCTGTGTCCCTGGAGAATCAGCTGGAGTTGAAGAAAACTTTCAAATGTTTCATGCCTCTGTGAGGGAAACAGGAAAGCTGCCTCTTCCCAAGGTATCAGCAGGGAAACCCAGGAACAAGTAGATTAACAGGCACTGTATGGTGCAATGTGCTATATTATTTTTATTTTGATGCATCTGAGAAAGAAGAAAATTCCCTAAATTTCCCAGCATGACATAGCAAAGCAAACCCAATGAATCCCTCCAGCAATTGCAACAGTGTTTTCTTGCCCTCTGCCCTTTGTCCTTCTAAGGAAAAATGTTGGGTGGCATATAACATTTAAAAAGTTAATGACAGGGTAGCTGCTAAAAGCTAAGACTTGCAGCTTTGGGTTGCAGGAGCAGACAAACAGGAGGGCAGCCTGTTCATACCAAATGTCTGAGAGTACCTTATTCAGGGAAGCACTGGCAGACTATAAAGTACTCTGTTAATTATTGTTGACATTGCATAGAGAGCTTCGTGCTGTTCTTTCTCTGCCTGCTTTGACTTAATTTGTTTGAGAAAGTACTTTTTCTGTGCTGCAGATTATGTAAATTCATATACTCTACTGCACTGACAGATGTGTCTTTGTTTTAGAAGAAGCCATTATTTTTTTCAGGGCTGAGTGTGAATGGAGCATTTCACATTGGTGGCTTCCAAAAATATTTATAAAGTGAAGCCGAGTAGCTCAAAATATTTTGCCCTCCTACACTGACATTCATAAGCCTTTATAGCAGTGTTATCAAAAGCATTTGCAGTGGAATGTGCATGAGTCGGCCACAAAGACTGGGTTAGTCAACAAATGACTGAAGGCACACATTTTAGTCAGCTCTCCCTCACACAACGTGCAGCAGAACCCAGATAACACAACTGTAATCAACAGGGCAATTATTCCATATTGTGGATAAAAGACTATCTTATAATGATCCCTTGCTCTCGTAACTCCTGCATGTCTGAGGAAACAGGATGAAGAAGTAGAAAGTGACTAAAATTCCCCTTTTTTCCTCTTTCTGCTGGTGAAGTACAGTTTGACTGTTCACTGACTGCAACAGGCAGAGCTTGTTCTGAGGCATGATAGCTGCTCATGACTCTGATAGTCTGGCTGTGAACAGTGACATTGTTTGCCTCGCTCATTTCCATTCCACTTCCACTGGCCAATGCCTAGGTGTCCTTCAACTCACCCTCCAACTCACTGATACTTCCTGAGTATGCTGCTAAGAAATGCAGCATGCTGCATTCACTTGAGTAGAGAGAAATGCTCCCTAGGAGCACATAAATGCATCAGACTTACTCATAGCTTTCACTATATATTAAAATTACCTCTCTGCCAATTGATTGCAATGACTTCCATAGTCTTCGCCACTGTATTGAAACCGTGGCTTCCCAGATATTTCTTCCCACAAGGAGTCATCCAAGAGAACTACACCCGCAATCAGTGGCCTGCAGCTGCAAGCAGAAGAGTGTCTGACTAACTTCATTAGCATGGGGACAATAATTGACACACAGTGATTTGAACAATAAAATCGTATGTGTTCCGTGCCCATTCTCACCTTTGTGCATTTCCATCTTTAAATTTTTAAAATATATAGTAAATAGCAGCAAGTCCAAGGAATTCTACTTATGAACCCACTAATTAATGTTAGCTCTGTTGGCTTTGCTTGGCCCATCCCTGTCCCAAGGAATGGGGCTACATACCGCACTGAAACACTCTGATTCTCCTCAGTTGGCAAATTAATAGAAAAGACATTTTAAACAGTGTGAAGTCTCCCCAGTTGCATTAGTATAGCAGGAGCTCAACAGCAGGAGGAGGGAGGGTCTCTCCTACACTACCCCAACTTCCTGAATATGAGCTTGCCATGATGAAAAAAGGTGAGCAGTTTCACTCAATAATGAACAGGAACTCCAACCAGTCCCCCTTCTTCGTTATTTAGGAGATAAAATATCACTCTAGTATGCCCCATGATTGCACCCTGAGTAGGATGTAATTTTCCTTTAATGAGTATAGAAGTTTCTTTCCTCATAATCCTTGCATTATTTGGACACAATCCTTTTTTGTACATTTGCATTTTTCCATTGCTAGATGTTCATTTTTTTAATTGCTGATGACTGTGTGAACCTTTTGTTTTCTATATGCATTGTTAATTCTGTGGTATTTAAGCATGTCAAAATGAAACCTGTCTCAGCTGAAGATAATTTTCAGTGGAAATCAGTCACTGATTTCCTTCTTTTTCTGGTAAAAAGCCACTTATTTTGGGTTTTTTGGTGCCTTTTGGAGGCTTGTGCATTGAAATTACTTCTCAAACTTTGAAACAGGAAAGAACTTCACACTTTCAAGCATGTATTGCCATGTAATTTCTACCCTGTATCTTATAGCTTGCAGCAGGTGAAAAAGCAGTAATGGGTGACAAAAACTGCAATAAAAGAAAGAAACGTGGAGAACAGTAACAGCAGACACATGTGGTGTATACCATGAAGTATTAATTTCCTTTAATGAATTTGTAGCTTAATTAAAAAAAAAAAACAAAACAAAACAAAACAATAAACTAAGTTTTCCCTGTTGGTCAGCACAAAGTAAGAGAATACTTACAATTTTGATTAAAATATAATTGAAGAAGCTAATCCTCTAGTATTTTGTGAACTTGGCTTGAACAGAAAAGAGATACAGAGTTTGCCTCTAATGTAACCATGGTGAGGGAAGTGGGAATTAATATGACAGATCACTTCAGACTATCTGAAGAACTGGGTTATAGGATGAGAGTTGACAAGGGTGTTCTTCTGGCACAAGGTAGCCCTCCAGATGAAGGATGACGTGTATCTGCGCAGAATGCATTTGTTTTTGATGGCCAAGCCATGACTGTGAAGTAGGCTTCCTCTCCTCTGGGACCTTATCTCAGATTTCACCAGCTCCTACTGCAAGTGAGGAGCACCTTTCTTTGACCTTGGCATTTCTGGCATTAATGTTTAGGAGCATGCAAAATCTCAAAACAAACACTCCTCTCCTGGGGGAACAGATAAGTGAAACAAACATGTGACAGGTGATAGTGACGTTAATTAATGCATGACTGGTTCGCACGTATATTCTGCTCTCACTGAAGTTGTGAGTGGCTGCAGAAGAAAAACAGGTCATGTAATGACACCAATGTGCCTGATGCACTAGTGAGCAGGTACACAGGCACATGGCTTGACACAGACACAATGCTTAAAGATGCTTGATTTCCCAAGAAAGCCCCAAACTTTCATGCAGAAGTCTTGCTAGAGCTTCCAAGCTTTGTAAAAATTCAGTTTCGAAAATCACCTTCCGCCCAAAAAGCACAAATGAGGTTTTGCAACCGGCCCGTGAAATGTTCATCTTCGCATTGCAACATGGTGACTCTGTCTTGAGAAAGCCTTTTTTGGAAAACATTACTTGGGATTGCATGCTTATGCTTGGTAGGTTTATAGCCCCTCATGTGAACCACCTTTTATCGAGAAGAGCATTGCCACTGTCCCTCATCAGGTAGGGACAACATAGCAGCTGCAGGTGTGTAATGCTCACTGAGGTATCCAACTGCATGGAGAGATAGGAGAAACAGGAACTGGACAAACTGGTTATAGAGGCTTAGTTAGGGGCTCTCTGGTGCTGTGTCTTGTTCAGGCAGGCTATGAAACCTGCTGCGACAGAGTAGCTTCAACTGGAAAGGGCCTTGCACTCTCATTTTTTTTAATCTTCTCTCACCCCTAATTTTTGTCCTGATCCCTTCTCCCCTTTTTATAGCGTTTTGTTTGAAAGAATACACTGGCAATGCCGAGTGCTGCATTGGAGGGAGGCCCCAGTTAAACTGGCTCCAGATGTGCTCGAACTGGCCTGGCTGTGTGCACCGGAGAGCAGAGCCTGCCTCTCGGGCTGGGAGCAGGCACCCATGTGCCAGGCGATGCACGTGGCTGGCTGCCACAGTTACTAACCTAGTATTAACTGCATTAATTGTGGGCATAAACAGTGTGTGGTGCCAAGCATGTCACAAGCTGATTATAAAAGCTGTGGTGTAGGCAGAGTTTCAAATTGTGCTTCACTTTTAATTTCCAGCGCCTTTCCCTGCCCCCCTCCCCCCTCCGAAATTCCTTGAATGTGTGTCTGTGTATTTACGAAAACACACAGACGTGCACCCAGCGGGGAGAGCTGTCAGGTTGTAAATACTACGGGTGTACCTGCGGACGGCTGGGAGCGAATTGTCTGCGGGCGCCCGGAGTCGGGGCGGGAGCGCCCGCAGCCCCCGGCGAGGGAGAGCCCCCTTCGCCTCCCCTGCCCCCTCCCCGTCCCGTCCCGTCCCCCGTCCGTCCGTCCCGTCCCGTCCCGCTCCGCCGCTGGGCGCTGCTGACCTACTTTTTCTGCATTTCTCCCCACACTGCCCAGACGCCTCCTGCGCATGGGGCTCGAAGGCTTTTAACCCTTCGGAGAGCAGCAGCAGCAGCAGCAGCAGCAGCAGCACCCCCTCATCCCGCTCTGGTCCCGGGGGCTGGAGCCAAGGGGCTCGGGGGGAGGTGGCGGCTTGTCGGGCAGGGCCACCAAGCGCTGTCCCCGCAGCACCACCCATCGGGAGAGTGCGGGCACGCACCGGCTGCATCGCTCTAACAAGCGATTCCTGCTCGCTCGGTTACTGCCCCAAGCTTGCCCGGGCTTGGTGTCGAGTCGGCCGTCAGCAGCTCTCCCTGCAATTCTCGGAGCAGCGGATCTTTACCAAAACAAATAGTGTCCGCGATGAAATATGAAGTAACCGAAATTCGAAGAAACGGTGCTGTTGCCGCCTCTGTGCAGAGCAGCCCCACCTTCCCGGAACGGGCCAGGTCATCAAAGCGTTTCGGAAAGGCTCTGCCCTTTGTGGCTCGTGCTCTGGAACTTTGTCTGGGAAAGGCTGTATGATTATGGTGACAAAATTCGTCTGGCGCAGCGTACTCTTAGTGTGCTGGCTTAGTGTAAAGAGCACATGTAAGTGCTTTGTATTTGACCATGTGCTTAGCGTGGTCAAATGGTGCTCAGTATGATATCAAGTGGATAAATTGCAACTCGCTTTTGGATTGCAATTTACCTCTCTGCATTTCTGCTGAAACAGTGGAGTCTCTTTTGCTCTTTTTAAAAGAACGTTAGAGGAATATCCCTTTAGCTGGAAAGGGAGAAGATAATACTCTCACATTTTAAAACATAAAGCTCTTCCTAAACAGACCAGAAAGTAAAATGTTCTGAAATTAAAAATTTGGCTTGGGTGCGCACCTTTTAGGCACAGAAATGTTTGCTTGTTTTGAAAAGTGCCTGCTGGGTTTTAGTAAAGGTTAGTGGACATCTGCTTAACTTGTCAGTAAAGCATTCCCTCAAGTATATAAACATGTCTGAGTATACAAACAAATCGCATTCAAGTACATGCAGATAGGGAAATGGGCAATTTTCTTCTGAAAAAGTTAAAGCTTCCCTGGTGCAGCTAGTAAAACTCAGAAAAAAAGCAAAACTACTGGAAAACGAGTTTCTCAGCACCATGGATTTCATAGGCCCAGGACCAATAGGCAACCATGAGGTAATCAAGCTCTGTGGGCACTGTGACCCTGGAGTAAGGCCTATGGGTCACTCTTTTGGCTGCTGTGTTGTTGAAGGATGGTGGGGATAGGCAATGGGCCCTGTTTCTGTTCTAGAGGAAGGCCACTGAGAACTTCGATGAGAGCATTCTGTGTTCTGAGAGTGGACTGTTTTGTGTGCTTAGCTGTGCTCCATTGCTTTGAGATGTTTCCCACTGAGAATATCTTGGCTGTTAGTGGCTACTGACCTGTTTGTAACCTTTGTTCTGCAGAAGTTTTATTCTGAGTGTGTTAAGTGGAGAGTTGCAGGGACATCTGGGCATGATCTTCCCCCTCCCACAAAGGAGGCACCTTCAGTCAAGCCTTGGGCTATCTAACGGTGTTGGATTATCCTTAGCTCATGTAATACTGTCCTGCTGCTAAGGGTAATAAATAAATCCCCTACTGACTGTCAGATCTTTCAGCAGCTTGGATAGGAATAACTGCTAGGTGTCAGCGATAAGGCCGTGGTCCTTGGCAGGGCTTTAGGGGGCTGTCCATGAGATACTGGAGTAATTCCTGGAAGAGTAGGATTTGAAAAGGGGGTTATAGGTATTTGTTTACTGAAGTGGGTCAGGGTGCTGCTGCTTCCCATCTGTCTTTCTCAAAACACAGAATGAATATTGGGTTGCAAATAGCTGTCACCTAGAGGTATGAATTAGAAGGACTACTGGGTACAGCCAAGTGCAACCCTCTACCTCCTTTGCAGTTGTCTCTCAGCAACTATCCTGGTTAACAGATGGTTCAGTCAGAGTCTGTTTCTTTTTGAGCTTGCTTTCAAGCAGCTGTGTACGAGTTGCAGTGAGCAGTAATGTGCAGGGAAAAAGAATTTGCACTTTAAACAGGGAGTAAATTTTAGGTACCCATCCAAGCAGAAAAGTAGATACTCTGCAGAGTAATTGGTAGGCAAAAACCTCTCAGCTCAAATTTAGTGATCAGTTTACTATCACAAAGCGATCTTTGATTTTCTTTTACAAACACAAATTATTTTTACATCATTAATGATTAAGTCAAAAGTGAATAATGACTGCAGGAGTTGGTCTTAGTGACAGAGTTCATAGGATAAACTTACTAAGGGGAATTTTTTGCATGTTTTTAGATTAACTCAGAGAATCTGTGGTATGGGAAGTAAAAATGATGTTGAATGAGTGCCACCAAGTGTTTCCTGCAGCGTATGAAAGCCCAGGTCTTAAGTGGAACAAAAAGCAACATTACACTACAAAGTTCTGTAGTTCTGAGAGGAACATCTCAGAGACAGCAAATTCTGTCAGAGTGAGAGGAGTTAAAATTATTATTCTCTTGGAGTGCAAGAACGATGTCTGGAGATCTGATGGGGTGAAATTTCTGTGGCAGGTGCAGAAATACAGACATAATACTGACAAACATCCAGTTTGTCTATCTGTTCCATTCTGTGTATCTTCTGAGTGAGTGCACAGCAGTCACACTGTGCAATCTTTGTGGCTGTGCTATGTTGTATCAGATGATGGTGTGATACACCCGTCCTATCTTGAGCAGGGCTGGTAAGTATCACAGGACCTAACATAAGTTACAGATTTGGCAATTAACATCTCCGTTTTGGCCTTCCTGCTGCTGCTATTGATCCCAATGCCAGCCACATCAATAGCTGCAGCGATGGCAAGGCCGAGATTTGTGTGCCTGAGAATCAGAGATTCTACAAACAAAACAAGTGTTGTCAAATGTCCTACAAGATGGTTTCATCCCAGCTTCTCTGTAGATTAAAAGGTTCTGATGGATCTTTAGATTTTTGGTTCATACACGTGAGTGTTACTGAAGAAGGAAGATTTATATCAGTCTCACAATTTTGGAATTTCAGTTGATTCAAGCAATGTTCTGGTGAAACAGAAGAGGGGGAATAGGCTAGGACAAGGGCCTAGCCAAAGAGACTGTTTACTGCAGGGTTCTGGCAATGTACTTATTTGGAGATGGCAGAAATATTTTAGGTCAAAAATATCCTGAAGCCTGCATACAGAATTTGAACATTTTTTAACTAGAATGTGGTTGTGTACAAATAAACTGATCAGTGCTGTGATGCCACTGCATGGCACCCACTAAACCTGGGGGAGTGCCAGAGAGCACAAGAGAGCACCATACAGTTTGGGAACTCTGGGCAGTGAGTGAGCAGCAGCCGAGTTTCTCTGTTTAATCAGCAGCCCATTGTATCTATCAGGGCCTTTCCACAGAAGTTAATGGGTGAACAGACTTCTGCTGGCACAGACTTTCCATTGTAGCACTCTCTGTCCTGCACTGTTCTACTATTTCACTATAAATTAACTTGAAAGAGTCATGTTTACCACTATCTGAGCACACTGTAAAAAACCTTTGGAACTGTGTGTAACTTTTTCTTGCATGAAACTGTAAAGTACAGAGACAGAAATCAGTGTAGTGGCCTTGAACTATTTGGAAGGACTTTCACTGTTTGCATGGGTGACATATATTTTGTGGTAGCTACGGCGTCCAAAGGGGGCAATGCTCAAGTCATTTGGTCCCACTAGATGTGAAATTTATGCTATTGAATTGGTATTTATCAGTATGCAGAGCTTTCCAAGCACCACCGTTCGGTGTGCTAGATAACTAGACTGCCCTCTGTGTGTGGATAGGTAAGACGAGGTGCTAAAAACATATAAAAAGGTGAGAAGTACCTTTGTAGGTTCAGATAAATGTCTAAGCTCTGGTTCAGTCGAAGCTAACCCTCTATACAGAACACTGAGTAATTAGCTGTCCTTTTCCTCTTGTGTCCTCGCCAAGCACAATAGACAGAGTTATCAGTATTCTTGCCAGTAATTCAACTATTATCTCAGTTTAAAAGTATTTCATTGTTTCTAGAATAGGTTTTAAAATACTGGAGAAGATTCCTGTTAGGCTGTGCTATCTGAGCATGATCTCACCATTCATACAAAAGGAAAAATAAAAATTTCTCTGAAATGTCCAACATCACTACAGCCTTAGAAGCACTCTCTGGTGAGCTGAATAGGAGCAAGTGGCAACTATTTGTTGCTAAGAAACAAATCCAGATGCTTTCAGATTTTATGGGGAAAAAAAAAAAAGGATGCACCCACCAAAATGGATCAGTAATTTCCAAAAGGAAATTATTAGATAGATATTCTTCTATTAGCCAACAATGCTAGTTTACTAAATAAGGAAATAATAATATCTGGCTACAAAACATCAGAAATTATACAAACCAGCTCATAAACAACTGATGCCTACATAAGTCCTATCTTCCTTTTTGTTATATTTTTTTTCCTTTTTTTTTTGAATCCAAATTGTTCTTATCACATTTTGCTACAAGAAACACTTCCTGTGAATGAGTAAATGAAACAAACTGCAGATCATTGGACACACTTTATCAGAGTGGAAAGCCATGGAATACCTTTCAAAATGAAATGGTTAATATGGGTTTGGTCCTGGAACCAACTATAGTTACCTTAGGTTTTATTTAATTAAATTACATAATATATTCATTTTGTGACTGTTATCCCATGTTTTTCTTATTGGAATTATATCTTTAGATATCTTCTTAAAATATTTTGGTTTTTTTTCCCCAAACCAAACGGTATATTTTTTTTTTTTACACAGAATTATGCTGAAATGTAAAAATAATTTTTAATAATTACGTGACACGGAATTTCCCTCCTCCAACAATGAGAATATTTCCATTTTTAGCTAACAACAACAACAACAACAAATGTTTATTTTATTGAGGACAGCTTTACTAAAACCACCCTAATTGATGCTTATACAATTTCTTTTGAAGTATTTCAGCTAAAGGCCTTTGGAATGGACTCTGATTCATATGGAAGAAGATAGTTACTTTGACTTTTTTTAGTCTAAGGTTTATTGTACCTTGCTTTGACTGTAGGGTGAAAAAAGCTGGCATTCTTCAAAGAGCAGTTTCCTTTTATTAAAACCTGCAGTCAGAGAAACACAGCTTTCATTGTGCTTTATGCTGTCTGAGTCA